TTTTGGACCATTTCGAGTGAGTTTATTAGGTTTTCTTGGCTGGGATCCCAAACTGACGCGGCGTATTCCAATTTAGAGCGAATTAGTGTGGTGTAAAGCAGTAGTTTTAATGACGAAAATGCTCGGGCAAAGTTACGTCGAAGGTATCCCAACATCCGGTTAGCATTATTAATCACGTATGTGGTATGGGCTGTCCAAGTCAGATCATGCGAAATATGAATGCCAAGATACTTGTATGAGGATACAGGGTCAAGAGGTATGTTATTAAGGCAGCATTTTGGCAATTGGCAAGGTTTTCTGGACACATGCATTAGTTTACACTTGTTAATATTTAATTCCATGCGCCATGCTTCGCACCAGACAGAGATAGCGTTAAGGTCAGATTGAAGGCAGATTATGTCATTATCGCAAGTTATTTCACGAAAAAGTACGCAGTCATCAGCAAACAAGTGAATGTGGGAGGAAACAGTTGACGCGAGATCATTAATGAAAATAAGAAAAAGAAGAGGACCAAGCACCGAGCCTTGCGGTACACCAGAGTGGACACTGCGCGGCTCGGATGTTATATCGTTAGCTGAAACAAATTGTGAACGGTTAATAAGAAAAAATTCAAGCCACGTGAGAAGTTTGTGATCAAGGTTTAGTTGACGCAGTTTATAGAGCAGCAGCTTATGACAGACCTTATCGAATGCTTTGGAAAAATCTAAAAATATGCAATCTGCTGATGATGAGTGGTCGAGGATGATATTCATTTTATGCATGAAGGACACCAGTTGTGTTTCACAGGAGTAAGTTTTTCGAAAACCATGTTGCGCGAATGTAAAAAATGAATTCGATTCGAGAAAGTTAGCAAGATTGGAAAACAGAATATGTTCAAGAATTTTACAGGGGATACTGGTGAGTGATATGGGTCGGTTGTTGAGTGCAGAGGTCTTGTTACCTGATTTGTGGAGTGGAATCACCTTCCCGACTTTCCATTCCGCGGGTAGAAAACCATTGTCGAGTGACTGCTGAAAGATCTTTGTTAGTATGATAGAGGAATAAACACCTGTGCTTTTTAAGAATTTTGGATTAACTAGATCGCAACCGGGGGCAGAAGAAGGCTTTAATGATCTAAGTAGGTGTTCTACCCCAGCTGGCTCAATCAATATGGGAAACATTACTGCGTAATCGTACGAATGAACGAAGGGTAGAGAGGGATCCGCAGATTCTGAAAAGTTGCGTATAATACATTCATTAAAAGTGGACGCGCCCAGGTTAGATGGGATTACATTATCAGTATCGTCGATGAGGATTATTTTATTATCATCTTTCGGATTTATAACGCGCCAGAACTTTTAGTGTCGGTTGTTAGCATTAAAGGTAACGTTTGCTGTTGAAATTCTTCCTTGGCTTTTTTTACTGCTGAGACATATTCGTCGGCAGCCTGTTTGTAAGGTATCCAGCGGTCATCATTGGAAGATCGCTTGGCTGATTTAAAAAGACGTTTTTTTTGTTTGACAAACGCTTGATGTGAAGATTGTACCATGGTGCGTTACGATTATGACGAACAGTATAAGTAGGGATGTATTTATTGGTTAGCTCGTTAACTTTCGCCAAATATAGATTCCAGTTAGCTTGTACGCTACGAAGATTGAAATCCTCCAAAAATATGTCAAGGAAAGCTGATGGTTCATTATTGATAGCTTCAAAATTAGCTTTTTTATAGTTTCGAAAAGTTTTCGACTTTTTAGGAGCTAAAGGTCTCGACAGGTTAACGCGAAATGAAAGGAGGGCATGGTCGCTTAAACCAGGCAAATAGGTAATGTCCGAAATGAAATCAGATCTAGAGGACAATACGAGGTCAAGGGTACGTGTTAGCTGCCGACTGGGTGATTTTCGTAGGCTGCTTGACAACTTGTGTAAATGAAAAAAACAGAGCAAAAGTCTAAAAACTCCTTCGCTAGAGAGGAGACAGGGTGCATCAGGGGGGTTCACTGTTCCATGTTATGTTCGGGATGTTAAAATCGCCAAGCAAACATAAAGGCAACGTGGGAAAGCGCGATGAAACAATGTTTGTTGCGTCGTGAAGCTCATTCACAAATGTGGAGGAATAAGTGGGGGGACGATAACACGCGCCAACAATTAATTTTTGATGAGTTAGCTCAATGAGAGCCCACACAATTTCAAGGTTACTGGAAATATGAATGCATTGCGATGGAAAGTCTTTGGAAATGGCCAGAAGGACGCCACCGCCCTGACGAAAGGTGCAGTCGCAACGATAAATGGAAAAATTATTAGCGCTCGAAAAAATTTCACAATCCCGAACATACGAGTGCAGCCACGTCTCGGTTAAAACTATTACGTCAGCATTGCAGGTGTCTATGGCAGAGGTTAAGGAATCGTGCTTGTTAACAATGCTGCGAACGTTAGAAAAAAGAAATGATACAGACGCTAAGTTTTGTCCACTGCCCCTCGCGTTTCCCTACGTGGTGGCACGTGCCTCGGTGCTTGGATGACGGTTCACTTGTGCCAGTAGTGGCGCATGCTCGATTACGCTATCACTCAGCAGATGGTAGACGTAATGCTTGTTGTTGATGATAACTTTGTTGTAACGCAGCTGGAAGGTGGGTGCGCCCGGTTGGTTTTTCGCAAACGCGATTAGCTTCTTACGCGCGTGTCGCGTGGCGGGCGAGAAGTCTTCACTGACCGTTACGTTTGTTGCTTTCAATTTTGTACGCGCGGAAAGTATATTCAATACTATCAATACTATAGGAAGGTGGTTGTGATGCAATATATATTTTGATATTTATTTTAGTTCACGAAAGCTGTGGTGCCGCAGAAAGGCAAGTTGCTCATGCCATTGTTCTTCTCGACATTTTACTTTTGCAGCTTCGCGGTTTAAGGACCTCGTTTGTCCGTTAGAAGCCATTGCAATCCTTTTATGTATGCCGAGGTAAAAGTTTTTGAGCCTCTTCTCCCACTGAGCCTTCTTGCCTCCTCGAAACATGGTTAGTCTAGATCTAACATTCCCGTCTTTTTCCAACGCGGTCATCCACTTGAATAAAGCCCTTTCACCTACATTGGTTAAATCTGTCGTTTTTTGAACGACACTCCTAATGCTGACTGACTTGCCGCTCACCTCAAGGAGGGCTCCTAATACATTCTGTGACATTGTTGGCTTCTTTAGAATAAAAACAAGGCTTAGTGCAGTGGTGGATCGATGACTCGGGTGCTACCATTTTTTGGGAAACGAAGCACCAGCTGAGCACTGTCCTCCGCTTCATTTGAATTGAAACCAAGGCATATTTATAATTTGAATATAAAGTAAAATAAAGCACCTTCTGAAAGAACTAGCCTATTACTTTAAAACAAATCCTGTTTGCTGTTCCTAATAATATATGCTGTTGGTTAGTCAGTAGGAAGTATTTCTACTATTCTTGTACATTTATCAAGGTCAAAAGAACACCAGGGATTTTAGATTGAATGCCCACTTCAGCCCGTTTCAATCTGGATGATCATCGTACTTCCGTGCGGCGTTGTGTCACTATTGCGCGATGTGCGTTATATACACCAGACTGGCGGTGGTACTGTACTGGCTAAATGTCTCATCTACATCTGATAAAACCAGAGGCCAGCTGAGGCGGTTAACATCAGGCTGTGTAAGCACACACAAAACACAAGTACAACTTTTAAATAACCACACTCAATTATTACCATAAACCAAGGCGGGCCTTTTACAATTAGGCAAGGCTAAAGCAGTTTAGACGTTTTCAAACTTTCTGTTCTCTTGAGAGAAATGGAACCAAAACATGAAGCGCACGAAGTAACTTTGTTACGTTGAGCTCTACTTAGCCTGCGTGCATCCGGCCGACTTCACTATGCTGTACATAATTTTTTTTTAAATGAAATATAGGTGGTGATGGGCCAGCGCGTCGTTGCACGCCCTGCCGCGTCTTTAGCAAGAAAACCTCTCAGGCAGGCCATACTTGTGCATTACATTACGGGCTACTGCGATGCCCTGTTCTGCGCGTGGAGCAATAGAGTTTCTTTAACACAACCATAACTGAAATAGGCTTATTACTTCAACACATACACTTTTGTGAATGTTGAAGAAAATCATAACACATTATAAAGGGTGTTTTTCAAAATGCGGGCCGAATCCCTCCTGCGAAAACTCCGCATCGTATATAAAATATTAATGCCGTAGTAGTCTGTGCCAAAGGATCCGTTAAAGAAACTTGTTAGCGTTCAGTGTAATCGGGTATTTATCAACTTGTAATTTTTTAATGGTATGATTTTTTTTAGAAACCTGATGTCCATCATCGAAAACTAAGAAATCTACGCACATTTTTCGGCGTTCCGAAGAAAGGCTCTAGGTTTTGTTTTCTTATCGGAGCGCCCTCTTCCCTCAAGCAAGCAATCATGCTTCCCGTGGTCCAAACGAGCAACGTACGTGCGCCGCCAGGCATCGCACGTAAAAGAGGTTAGATAAGAAAGAATCCGGACTGCCACATAAGGTTAGCCAATTTTACTTCGGTGCCAGTGCAGAGACTCACCTTTACGTGCGATGCGTGTTGGCGCACATGTTTTGTGCGTTTTGGACAAGGGGAGTTGGATGGCTAGGGCGGAAATCTGCTCCGATAAAAAAGCGAAACCTAGAAACGCGTCCGAATTGATAGCTTTGTTCCGGAACACCGTAATATGCAGACCACAACTTATATCATTATATAATTAATGATTTCGTAGTCCCGAATAATTCGCACCAACTTTACGATCGAACAGTACGTTTAAAGGTAATAATTAAAAGCTTTGTTGTTAAACCAGAATTAATAACCGAATGTACTGAACGCCAAAATATTTTTCTTAATGTGCCTTTTGGCACACACCACTACAGCCTCAAACATTTTTTTCTGCAATACGTAGTTTTCGAAGAAGCGGTTTGGCCCGCGCTCTCAAGAAACACCCCGTATATCGCATTGAAGTTTTTGCATGCATATATAAGATCTGTTGCTACTTACAGGTGTCCAAGTTCATGAGCAGTGTAGTGTACTCCGTCAAGGGTAAGGCCATCATCTTCCACGATTGCCACTTTTCCTGCTTTGCAGATAGTCCCACCATATGCAAAACCTAAAGGGAGTGTAATAATATATTATACATTATAAAAATGAGATATTGATTCCTTCTTGCATGCAATAGGCAAGCGACAAGGTGCTGCGAACGTGTCACTATTTACACATTTTCAGGTGGGAGACGTATTCCTAATTCTGACCCCTTTTCAATTAACTGAAATTGTTCAATTGCTTATAGTTGAAGTTTAACTTGCTCCTACATCTAAAACACGCAGCACAATTAATGCATCACTTAAAAAAGATATAAAAAAAGATTAGCATCAATGCACTTCAGAAAGTGAGCCATTCATCGGTGTCTTGTTTGGCTCATACGGGAAGGTAACCTGGAGATATCTTAAAAGGCAACCACCACAAAGAAAATTTAGAAGAATTTCTTCTACCTAGAGCACAAAAATTTGCGCAACGTGGTTTATTTTCTAAGGATTCATGCTTCGTGATTTGGTTTTTGGTGTTTTCATTAGCCAATTCCACTGTCTTATTTTGTGCGCAGAGATAATGAAATGCACGGGATTTGCCACCTCCAGCGTGTTTTAGGTCGCCTGTAGGTTGAAGTGTTCTCAATGAACTACCTTTTACACCTGGCCGCATTCCGTGATAAACTTGAAACTGTTGTATGCTATCCATGTCATGCAAATAAAGTGCTCACTTGTAATCCACTTTGTCTATTGTAGGCTATGAATCTTTTTATGCAACCCTGAGGCATATAATTGCTGCAGAATAGCATGCCTTGTTCCAGTAAGGATCAATATTTGTTCATTACACCCCCTTTGCCTCAGCCGGAAGTGTTCGATTCTGCCCAAAAGGAAATAGGAGTGGTACTTCTGTGGTTGGTGCCTTTCCGAGTCTCTGGTGAAGTCTTGGCGTCAGAACTAGCAATATTGTAATATTTCTGTGTCCACTGAATTCAGAGCGAATCAACTGGGACATTTTGAAAAAACGTTTTAATGCGTATAGTTCATATCGTACAAGGGTACGACTCTGGCAAAGTCATTTTACACTATGTTTTTTTTTTCGTCTACTCTAGCTTCCGAGAACGGGATTGGATTCATGAATTAACATGCTCGTAGACGCGTTAAAAAACCAAAAGTTATTAAAGGGGCAGTGTAACAATATTAATTTATAATGCATTTCTCTTTACAAGGGCTCACTTGCGCCAGTGGGACCCAAGTATTGTCATACGCAGTGCCACTTAGCAAGAAACTTAATTGTTGCAGTGAATTTCCAAGGACAAAAGCCAGCGTTTCTTTTCCAATCTTTCCTTCGCAGAACTTGATGACGTAGGTAGTAGCTTGCAGGTCTTAGTGTCGGCATATAGTCCCCTAAATGAAGATACTCTAACACGACTTATAGATTGAACCCGAGCATAGCGTGAGCACTTGGATTATGTGCTTGACAATCAATAGCTCTACAAGCATTCGGGAAGTCGCTCATGTTCAACCCCTGAAGTGGTGACAATAACCGAACCCTTAGAATGTCTGGAACTCGGCATATATCCGGCTCCATATCAAGCGGCCGCTCGTTCTAGCTGCCAGCTAAGGGGGTTAATGCTGTTTTTTTTTTTCAACGTTTTTTTCTACAATTAAAATAGGGCGCAAAAAGCTACTACCGTGTTTCATTGGTTATAAATGCCATGTATTCATTCTACACGGTACTTGCGCAAGGCACTAACATCGTTGCACGACCCTTTAAGGGGGAATGTAACACTATAACGATTTAATTTTAAATCGTGTAAGAAAAAGTCGTGATTCAAAAACGGCGGAAAAATTTATATGCCGGGGAAACTGTTTCTAAATCAAAACTGAATATCGTGCTTCCGGCAAATTTTTGTTCTCAAGTTTTTGCCTAAAAAAGGACAAATTTCATTTTTTTAGATTTCGGTCATTGTCACAAGTCGTGCGTTTAGGTTTTCCGCCAGGCTCCAATCCATTTCACACAAGAAAATTTTGTGCAGTGTTTTTACAACTGGAATAGTGCCAAATGACCATAAAAATCAAATTATGCCTTTAATTAGCTCCGTAATGTCTTAGAAAATTGTCAGTTTGACACTTTTCTACCTAAAAATAATAAGCATACATTTTGTGGCATTCAAAATAATGGCATAAATTATTTGCGGCCACGAGCGTGCCTGAAACGCTAAGCGTGTGCTTTACAGTGTAAACTTATCAATCAGAAATCGTGATAGCCAGCCGGCGACACTCGGGCTGCGTCAGCAGTGGGAGAGCCAACGGTTTCACCCCGTCTCGTAATTTGGCAAAGGGTGAACAACAGGCACCACCCTGTGCACGCCGATGGCTTCGATATGTGCTACTTATTCGAGCGAAACGCACACATGTTGGAGCATGACACAGCAAAAGGCCTGATACTTCTTCACAGCATAAGCGCACTTCGGCGATACGTAGTCACGTTCCGATTGGCCAGCCAGGGTCGTAGCTCCCGCCGTACCGGCGTGTTATGCGATCACTGCTTCCTGGCCTACCCAGTATTTCTCGCTTCAGGCACTAAACTAAGCGACGCTACCAGAGGGATAGCACACGTTTGAACAGTGCAGCCGTGTCACTCCCAGGTATTCCCAATGTTTCTTGCTTTAGTCGCGAGATGGCGCCATCCAAACTGCGTTGTAGGTTGCTTTGTGGCGTTTTCAGAAAAGATCGAACAACCATGTCCGGCGACATTTTTTTAAATTTTGATGAAAAAATATTTTGCTGGCTCCGTGCATAAAAGTAGTGCTTCCTTAAACAAAAAAATTGTTTTCGCGAAAAAAAAAATTATGAGCACCCTCCCAGTTGCGTGCGCGATTTGCGATCGGGATGTTGGCATTTCAAACGGCTTCTCAAAAAAAAAAAAACGGTTCAGTTTTTGGTTTTTGTTTAGAAATATTTACTGACAAAACAGATAAGAAAGGATTGACAAAAGGTATGAATCACAAAGTATTAGTGTCGTTAGTTTCAGCAACCAAAATCGAAAATACGGCACATTGCGCAATAACGCCCTTGATTGGTTTCTTTCCTCCGTACCCATAAAAGCTAAGGTCTACACACTTTGTCAGTTTGTTACCCTGTAATTACCTCATATTTGCATGAAACATTATGTTCCTGGTTTGTAGGAGAAAGTTACTAGAATTGCCCAAACAGGGGCATATGACGAAATATGCATTATTTTAAAAATTATTTTTGAAAAAAAAAAAAACATTTTATCTTTTAACTTTTTTTTAAACTCTTCAAAATTAAGGCTTATATATGTTCTAACGGAATCTGCAAAACACATCAAGCAATATTTGTGTTGCTTTGAATTTATAAAGCGAGAACCCTTGCCAAATTGACGTAAACGCGGTTTCAATGAATGTTGCGTGCACACACCTATTCTTCACAATTTTATTATTTTTTCAAAGCGTAAAAATACTACAGGGTGGTCAGAAGAAAGCAAGCTGACAGCACAGAGGTTGGCGGTAGTTTTAAGGAAAAGTTTTTTAAACATTTCTGTACAACCGACCCAAACTTCGCACGGGCCGGGGTGATCGAGAAGCGCTTCCCTGTCACACGCTTCGCGGTGCCTGTTAAAACAGCCGGCGTGTAGCGCCTCCGAGCACGCGACGTAATTGAAACACCCGGAGCAACTTTGCAAACAGATCAGCCTACAACATTGGCGGTAATATGATATAGGAGGCAGGGCGCAGCAGAACGTGCGCCGGCTCTGAGCGCCATTAGAACAGCTCCCGCGGAAAGCCGCACAACGCAAAGAAAATAAAAATACTGCAAAAAATATAATACCCTTTGACTGAGATTGTCTTCAGATAGGATCCAATGAACATGTCCGGTCGGCATATTATTTTTCTTAATTTTTACCAAAAGACATATTTTATTTGTTGTGCACTAGCAAAAACGTACTCATTTTATTTTAACAAAGTAAAATTATATTTTGAGGGACAAATATCACAAAGTCGCTGTCGGAATGCGCTCACGTTTTAGCGACTTGCGTGAAACCGAAGCTTTGGATGTTAGAAAAAAGAAATCGTTATCGCATTAGGTTTCATATTTGTTTGTGCGGAGACTGCACATCAAATAAAAGGAGGTAAACATGTATTATCGATTACAAAGCAATTCAGAGCTCTATGGGTCCGCATCTTAAAAGACTGGAAACATATTTTTTTTAAATGATTCGGACGCCTGTGTTAAATATGTGCATAAATAGTCATTAAAATTGAAAACGTCAATCTTTCTAAAAAAAACACTCAAATGTGTAAATACACTCCCCGGAGAATGGGAAAATTTCGTAATTCTGTCCAGCTAGCTTGCACCTTTGCATTTAATTGCATCCAAATCAAGCACAAATGTAGGCAGGTTCCTGATCTTGCAATAATTGGAAAATTAGTTTAACATAAATGCCATCCTATTTTCTTCTTTTTTTTTTTAACAGGTCAAGGCTCCTAACCAGTTCTATCAGGCCCTTCGAAACCTTTTCGCAATATATTTGTGTGTTTGAATCTACAAAGAGATAAATCTACAGAATTGCCATAATGAGAGTGGAAAAAGATAGGACGTTGGCGACTTCAAACAAGGGCAAGAAATGGTCCGAAAACTGTAGGAAGTCTGCAAACAGAAAGCACTGTGACAGGAGTTCGTGAAAAGTAAGAATTCATACGAAACTTTACAGACGCGTTTGAAGCACAAGTCAACAGTTTAAATACAGATTTCTCGATTTATCAAATTAGTGAATTTCGGAGCCTATCCTTCGTAGGGAGGCTAGGCTACTGATGATAAGGTGTAAATAGTGATAAAATCACGTTTAAAGTGATGAAATTGAACAGAATTTAGTGAATCAAGATGCTGTGCGGACTTTCAGCGCTTGTCGCGTGCATTCTTTCTGCCGGACTCTGACTTGAATCGGTCAGGGCGCTCTCCTGGCACTCCGTGGTGGAACATTTTTTTTCCTGTCTTTCCTGTAGCGACCAATGTTTGTTTCTTCTCAGTGGCACCGCAACCTCGCGACCTCAGTCAGCTT